CATGCAATGATTGCGCCCACCCTAGCCCACACCTAGAGGTGGTCGTTCCACTCGGGGAGCGAGGACAAGAGCTCATGTGTTTTCCCGCAAGGCACTCGCACTGCTGCTTGTTTTCCTTTTCCCTCCATTTACTCCCTCCCTATCTGCTCAGGGATGGCTCGGCAAGTGACCCGCAGTCGGGACAGACGAGTTCGTTTCCCGGCCGGGCGGCTGAGTGCTGGCCGGGCGCTTTCCGCGCTGGCCTGTCCCTCGGCATGAGGTAGCGACCAGTTGAGCTCCAAACTCTGAACACAACCTACTCTCAACCAGTGTACAGATATGAATATCCCTCTGTACACATACGCATACATCTCTACCGCGGGCAAAAAAAGGGGGGGGGAGAAGTCTCGGGCAGAAAGAAGTGAAGCCTTTTTCGCTCCGATTCGTTGACGCTCGACGCATCACAACGCACATGCGATGTGTGGCTAGCTCTCCGAACAACGCCCTCCCCCTTTCCACATCCTGTCGCCCAGTAGCTGAAAAAATATATTCAGCAGAAATAACAAAGATAACTAATCCCGTTTGGTTTCTTTCCCCCTTTTCTACCAACTTATCAGCCGCAGGAATGTTTTTGTGGACCGGCCGAAGACACCCGAGGCTGCGACACATTGTTGGCAGGAGACGAATCCTCCATTTTGTATGGATATTTTCTTTTCTCCAATTTCTTACCTTGCGTTGGCTAAACGCACTTAGTGTTGGAAACCACACAATCGGTGACCTTGTACGGTGAATGAGAACTATAAATAAGCCCTGCACTCTGTTCGGTGAAAGTGGAAAGAATTACACAGAGCGACAACTCTTGACATCCGCGCAGCGACAGGGATGCAAGTGCCATTGACGGACCTACTTCGCAGTTAATCCTGACGTCATCATAATTACGTGACTACACGAATTCGTCATTCGCTGGCGATGCCAGAGGCGGACGATATATAAAATCCGTCAATGACAGCAACAATCCCTCAGTGACACGTTTGACAGTCGGTTTAATTGGCGGGAAATCCCCATGATGCGCGCGCACTCGCGCCTTTTTCCTCACGTTTCTTTTCAAATGCCGATGTCGCGGCGCGCCATTAGGCTGTTATAAGTTAACGCGCTCTGTCGCCGAGAGGCGTTGGCGCACGCGTATCTGTGTGTGAAGGGGGAACTAATGGAGACATAATGTATGGCATGGGGAGGGAAGTAAACCAGAGAGAAGAGAGAGAGAGAGAGAGAGAGAGAGAGAGAGAGAGAGAGAGAGAGAGAGAGAGAGAGAGAGAGAGAAGAGAGAGAGAGAGAAGAGAGAGAGAGAAAGAGAGAGAGAGGAGAGAGAGAGAGGGGGGGGGGGGAGGCACGTGCATCTCAGCGCCGCAGTCAGTTGAGACAGGGGAGTGTAAGTAAACACATTAATCATTTAATCTGACAAAGCTAAATAAAGAATTCAATAAAAAGCAACTGGAAGCTAAATATGAAGTGTTGTAAAAATAAAAGTAAGACAAACAACCTCTGAAGGATACCACTTTTTTTTATCATATCGATGTTCCCACATTTAGTAATAATATCAATATGTTAATCTGCATCATGTGTCCCGCAGCGAACATCAAAGACCAAGAGATCCAGGGCAGCGAGGCCATGACCAAGAGGGTAGTGAGAGGGCAGCAGCGAGAGGCAGCGAGAGGGGCAGCGAGAGGGTAGGGGGCAGCGAGAGGGTAGTGAGAGGGCAGCAGGGCAGCGAGAGGAGTGAGAGGGCAGCAGTGCGAGGGCAGCGAGAGGGTAGTGAGAGGGCAGCGAGAGGGCAGCGAGAGGGTAGTGAGGGGGCAGCGAGAAGTGAGAGAGCAGCAAGAGGGGAGTGAGCGCAGAGAGGAGGGGCGTGAGGGGCAGCGAGAGGGTAGTGAGAGGGCAGCAAGAGGGCAGCGAGCGGAGGGTAGTGAGGGTAGTGAGGGGCACCGAGAGAGGGTAGGAGCAGCGAGAGGGCAGCAAGAGGGCAGCGAGAGGGTAGTGAGAGGGCAGCGAGAGGGCAGCGAGAGGGCAGCAAGAGGGTAGTGAGAGGGCAGCGAGAGGGCAGCAAGAGGGCAGTGAGAGGGCAGCAGCGAGAGGGCAAGGCGGAGAGGGCAGCGAGAGGGTAGTGAGAGGGTAGTAGGGTATGAGAGGGCAGAGAGGGTAGTGAGAGGGCAGCGAGAGGGTAGTGAGAAGGCAGCGAGAGGGTAGCGAGAGGGCAGCGAGAGGGCAGCAAAAAGGTAGCGAGAGGGCAGCAGAGAGGGCAGCAAGAGGGCAGCGAGAGGGCAGCGAGAGGTAGTAGCTGCGAGAGGTAGTGAGAGGGCAGCGAGAGGCAGCAAGAGGGTAGTGAGAGGGTAGAGGCAGCGAGAGGGCAGCGAAGAGGCAGCAAGAGGGTAGTGAGAGGGAGGGATGGGCAGCTGCAGATCCTCCGCAGCGAACAGAGGCAGCCAGAGGGCACAGGAGCCTCAGCGGCGTGACAGGGACTTAC